GAACACAAAAACAGCCTCAGGAAATTCCCTGTTCTCTCATTTGCAAGATATTCCTTGCGTGCATCTGCCAAATAGCTTCATTCTGTTCTTCCAAGTCTCACCGATGCCCTGATGGTTACAAGGACCTACAAACTCTTCAACTGCCAGAGTCTACAGTAATCATGGCGATCAAAGCTGTTCCACTGTTCGCCTCTACCCTTTCTCTGTTGGTGATAATGCTGTCTCTCTCACATACTTTATACAAACTTTTGAATGTTTTTTTGTTCTGTTATTGCAGCATCTAGAACAATGCCATAACAGTCCACAGTTGGAGCTCCTAAGGATGACGGTGGCACGAATAACGATAACCACATCAGCGACAAGAGTAACTGATGCAAGCTCAATTTAACTCATTGCACAATCACAAAGAGATCTGGCATTGCTTTTTTTTTCAGTCTGCACTAAATGTTATGGGTTTTAGTCTTCATTTAATGAATTCGGCTAATAAGGAGTATGAAATACATAGAAGCACACAGAGAGATATATTCATCTCATTTGCGAGGCCAGAAGAAAGCGCATGTATCATGCAGGTCCCTTAAAAATATCACGTAAGTGCCATAACCCATAGGCTTTGGATAAGCTTCACAGAAATGAGCTAAAATCACAACAGATACTCTGAAGCTGACAACTCAATTGAATACAAATAAATGCTTACACAAATACTTAAGAGAGATTTCTATAATGCCCATGTTTCAGTTTTGAACCTGGCCATTTCTGAACTTCAGACAGAAAACAATTTACCTACAAAGATGAAAATAGGAAGCGATGCTTTTGGTTTTTTTCTTACGTTAATGTCCAAATTGTTACATCCTGACAAAATTTCAGCCCTATGGGAAGAAAGCTTTAGAAATGTTGATAGGACTGAAAATAGAACCTTCGAACACAAATTACTGTGCTCCTGAAATAAATACCTGTTTCAGATAAAGACCGTCAAAATCTCTCTCTTACACCTTGAGCAATACAGTGTGATACAGTCTCTACGGATCCCCTTTTATCCATTCCGGAACGTACAGAACTGAATCTATATATAGATTATTTAGCAAAGGTGACATGGGGTTACATTAAAAAAGTGCAACTATCAACAGTAGTTTTTCAGGTTTCATTGGAGATGCGGATCTTAATTAGTAAGGTCCCTTAGATGAAATATTCATTAAATCCATCTGCATCCGTATTTAGTAGTGCACTTCAAGGACCTATTCAAATGGTTTTATCTTGTTAGCTCAGCTCTTTTGGATTTCCTACTCTGCGTATTTCATCTGGTTATGATTTTAAGATTATTGTTCAGCAGGTAAATGATATGAAAACTTAATTTTTAAATCATCATCAATACTTATGATTTTATTGTGACCAAAGTGCAAAGAATACTGTATATCCTCTCTGTGGGCTCAACTCCTCAGGCACGGCAATTAAAACATAATTTCATCTTTCAACAACATCAAAAAATCCTTTCCATCACAACTGCATGGGGAAAGTTGAAAGAGTACCTTCTCATGTTAAAAATCCATCAGAAAAAAAAAGACAACCTGAAAGGGAGGCTTTCCCTCATTACCTCTCTGACTTGTTTTTACGTCACAACCCTACGACTGAACTCTTCCATTTTTCCCGGCAACGGTAAAACACACAAAGCGGCAATTAAACTTCCCCGAGTTTCTCCACCAATCCAGCTCTAAACGTGTTGCACTCAAGTCACCAGAAGGCTTGAGAAAAAAAGTCTTTCCCACCACTGTATTTTTCAGTTCAGTATTGACACCGTCTTCAACAGAGCCAACTGTAATGGAGGTTGCAGTAAGCACAAAGCCCATCCGCACTACTAGCCAGAACAAAGCTATCTTGTTCACTGCCATTAAGCAGCCATCAACTGCTACAGACATTTCCTCCCTCTGGCTGGATTTTGGAAGTCAACTTCAATGTAACTAACACCAGAACACAACTGCAATGTTCCTAAATTATCCATTCACTCTATAGTTGAGAGCTCTCAACCTTGATAAGAAAATACAGGCAATTGACATAGACACTATGAAAAGCTTGGAAAAACAAACCGAAAGCTTTAGGGGAACAAAAAGAAATAATTTTTTCCCTCCCCAGAAAACAAGTTCAGCACAAAATAAAATCCAGTCATTACCAACCAGACTGTAAAATTAAAGCTTCCCGGCATTAATTTTTAGTTTAAGATTTTTATTTTTGATAAAGATGTTGGTTTTTTAAATTAGATTCACTGGGAAAAAAGTATTTATTTAACTACTTAAAGCCTACTATTCTCAGTCAATAAAAACCAGCGCTAGAAACACAGCGAGTCACTTAAAATAGAAGATAAGAGCTAATATTTATTGTGTTAAAACTGCAGCTACAAACAGGCTGGTTTTCTGGATCACATCCAGCCTCACACAGCAACAGAATAAAGGGCCATTCAGAAGAGCAGTGTATTCCCCTGAGGTAGGAAAATCCTTGGCTGAAGCCACACAGGCCCAAGTCCTATTTATCACCTTTTCTCTCCTGCTCTAATAAGGAACGTGCTAGCAGGCAGGTGGCACTAGAGCTAGAACATGCTACTCTCCAGACAATCCTCATCCTCATCCTGTGAAAAGCCATTATTCAGTTCTCAGAAACCAGCACATATCCGTCCTGAGACTACTCTAATTTAAGCCAAAAAACAGCTGAATGATTAGATCTGTGCAAAAATAGAATGACTTGATTCCTCCCCAAGCCAAACTGCGTGGGAGTTTTACCATTCATCTCAAGAAGCCATAAATATATTCTTCAACTGACAGTACTGCAGTGGCTTGGGTTGTCAAAGCGATATTCCAGATTCCTCACCAAACAGCAGTCCTTTTCTTCTGCATTCGCTCTCAGTATCATGATTTTCAGTATTGTTTTCCTTCAGAATTATGCTCATAATTTGATGATGTTTCAGTTAACTGATGAGACACCTACTGTTTAGTTGCACACAGCAATCGCCCATTGATTTAATCATGACATCTAATTCACATTCATCTTAAAAAGCGATGAGTAAGAAGAAATAAAATATAGCATTAACTTAACCACAGATGCATTTATTCAGACTTAGCAGTTTCAGTGCAGTTTATTTTTGCCTGCCTGGACAGCCTCTGGTAACTCTGCACTCTTCGGTTTTGCTTTCCTGGACAACTCAAGGAAAGACCTAAAAGATAAGTTGAAAAGATCACCCTTTCTGTAAGGGAAGAAAATGGATTGCTTGCATAGTAATCATACAGCAATTCCCAGCTAGCAATGCAATGCCAGCCTAGGCTGAGTTTGGTCTTGTTAGACCTTAAAAACTTTTAGCCTAATAACGGCTGAAAACAGACTCAGCCCATTAAATCAGATTCTCGTCAAGACTCAGTTGAGACACTGATTGATCTAACTAGCTATTAGAGCTCTCCCACAGCATTAAGCCTTTCTGTCACTAAGTGCCTTTTTAGTTAGATAGTAGATATTGGCATATTTTTTCTTTTAATACAGTGACAATCACAGACGAGTCCTTTTATTCCTTCTCATTTCCTCCTGTTTAAAAGAAAGGAAGAAAGAAAGAAGGAAAAAAAGGCCCCGACTCTGAGACTAATGAAGTCAATGGAAGAAGTTCTGCCTACCTTAGTGGTCTGAGAAGTGGATGTCACTCCTCTTTTTTTCTAACACACCTCCTGACATCCCCCAAATATTTACCAACAGCAGCAAAAATGTTCTTATCACAAAAAAGGCTGG